CATTAACAAGGTAGCACAATACATGCATGCACCCAGGCAAGGTCATCTTGTTGTAGTTAAAAGGATTTTACGATACTTGGCTGGCATGCTTTATCATGGTCTAGTTATAGTCCCAACTGTGGCAAGTCTACATGTGTTTGCCTTTGCCGACGCTAATTAGGGTGGAAATATAGAGATTGAAGATCTATCTCAAGTAACTGTGTCTTTGTTGGTGATAATTTGGTTATGTGGAGTTCTAAAAAGTATAAGTCTGTCTCAAGATCTATCATGGAGGCATGATACAGAAGTGTTGCTGATGTTACTCCAAAGACAACTTGTGTGAGTGCTCTTCTCTTGGATATGGGGATTAAGCAGTCAAAAACTCATGTGGTGTGGTGTGACAATAGTAGTGCAGTGGCCATAACTGCAAATTCAGTCTATCATGCTAAGACAAAGCATGTGGAGCTTGATGTTCATTTTATTCGTGAAAAAGTTACAGATCAGCAGGTGTTAGATAACTATGTTCTTGCTAGTCATCAAGTAGCTGATGGGTTGACCAAGCCTTTATCTACAACTCAGTTTGAAGTTTTCGCGCAAAACTCAATGTCCAGTCATTTCTCGAGGGAGAAGGAAAAGTGGGGGAATGTTAAGTAAGCTGATGTGTGCAGGTCGTTATGGTCAGTTGTTAGTTTGTTATAACTGTTACCAGAGTTGTTAGTAGCAGTTAGGCTTGAGTTTGTTAGCAGTAAGGCTTGAGTTGTGAGCTATATAACAGTGTATGTATGCTTTGGAAATCAACCAATAATATTCGCTTCTATTTTTAGAAACTCATGTTTCTCAACACGAAGGCATCATAAGAGACCATACGGGAAAATGGATGTTTGGATTCTACAAGTTCATTGGCGTTTGTTGAGTGAGGGAGGCTGGTTTATGGGGGTATGTCGAAATACTAAAATCTTAGGAGCTTGGGATCACCCCAACTAAAAGTAGAAATAGACAATATGGATGCAGTCCGCCTTGTGATAAGCACTTTAAACCGACAAGGCGCGCCATCAATCACGCTACATATTCACAAACTTGAAAAGAAAGAATGAAATGAAAGATATTAACACATCCAACGTACATGTAACCAGTCAGTTGATAATCTGGCCAAACTCGCTACTCTATCACACCAGGAGATGCACTGCATCCCGACACCTTTTCTGGTATAGCAAATCTGGTTCATGAAGATTAAGTAGTAACACCTAGTCTAGCGTTTTCACAAAAAAATATTTTTAAATTAAAATAAAGATAAAATAATTTTAAATTAAGTTAATAATAAAATATATTTACTAAATTAATATAAAAATATTTCTTAAAGTTAATATATATAAAATATTATAAATTTAAGTTATGTATTTATACATTAAGATACAAAATATTACATCATCTTGTCTATTTTAAACAAGGACCAAATGTGTGATTATATCAAAATATCACAATTAACTATTAACATCAGTTAACTCGTGGTGACAACGTCTTAATTAAATAAATACGAAAGTGACAATATTTTAGTTAAATAAAAATAAAAGTGATCAGCCGCTTGGTTAACACATACTATTTTAATAAATGTATTGTCTTTCATAATTTTTTATGGTCTTAAAAATTATTAATAACTATAAGTAAATAATTTTTAAGAATTGAACTTAAGACTTATAATTAATATATATATATTATCATTTAATTTATATTTATTGATTAAATTTCATTTATATCATGAGTGGAATAAAATCGAAAGTATTTTAAGCAAATATATTATTAAAGGGTAACAAAAATTAACAAATTTTTGTAAAAAAAAATATGTGTATTATTTTATATATGATAATTAAATTAAAATTTACTACAAAAAAGGAACATTTAAAGTATGGTGTAATGGGTTCAGAACGCAGGGAAGCAAGGAGTGTATAGTTGTTAGACATAAGAATGGAGGAGACAAATGGGGGATACAGTGTCCCCCATCTGTCATAAATCTGACAACAACTTATATTTCATACGACGGCTTATTAAGAGGTTTTCTTTTTCCCTTGTTATTTACGAACAAACACTCTTTTGATAAATGTTGGTCAATTGTGTTCTTCTTCTACCTTTTCCTTTCCCCATCACTCATTGATTCGATTCACTTGAATTTTAATTGTTACTTTTAAAAGAAACATCACTTCAACTACAAGTCTACAACATCACTTGACCAAGTTTCAACAAACATATACAAATAAAAACAAAACATAAAGGGGGAGGAAATCCCAATCTCCCAAGAGACATTCCAGTTGTATTCTCGTTGCTTTTGAGGAATGTTAACATTATGCGCTACTGTTCCAAAGACATCGGTAATTTAAATGTTTGATTATCTGTTCCAAAGACTTGGGTTTTTATTCTAATCTTATTTTATATTTGCAATACTGATTATATATTTAGCAAATTTGCATGAATGGCAATTGGCAAGCAGAGGTAAAGTCTATATGTACACTGTGACATAGCTACACTTGTCTAAGAAACCATTTTAAGAATTTCTTAATGAGCAACTTTTTTAAACATTGTCTAAGAAAATATCATCTATTTTAGATATTATTAACACAGTACAATATCCATTTAATCATTACAAAAATCTAATAAAAATATTCTACTTCATTTTCTACTACTAACTCATGGTTTGATTTTCATTGGAAATGTCGGAAAGCTAAAACCAGAGTGGAGCCCACGAAACCCAAAGAGCCACATAACATCATGATTAAATGAGCATGTAAACAGAAATGCGTATCCAAAGCCTTATATCATTAAACTGTGGGTTTGGGAAGAGAGATTAGATATGATTAAGCAAATCCCAGAGTTCCCCATAAAAGTACATTATAAACAGATCCTCTCTTCAATCACTCCTCCAGTTTATTTGAGCCTATATAATTTTATTTGGGTCACTTCTTCTTTCCCGCGCGTGTATTTCACGGTCGGATTGAAAACATCAGCCCCCGCCTAATCGTGGATCGCGTGGCGTTAAAAAATGAATAGAAATGGCGACAACCCAGAAAAAGCAAAAAAATAAAAAGAAATGAAACTGTCTTGGGGCTAATCGAAGTTCTTTTGGTTTTCCTCGGCTTGCAAAGTGGCGATATGAGAGAGTGAGTATCTTTTGGAAAGCGGGGGTCGTCCAGTTTGTCGTAAGACCCTCGCCAATCTCTAGACGATCTGATTCTTTTCTCTCCCGCTGTGTGTTTTTCTAATCTTTTGATCATATTCTCTTCAGAATAATTTTTGTTTTTTTTGGTTTTATTGTTCGGGATTCAGCATGATTATGTGGGGTCATTTTTCATTTTATATTTTTTATTTGCACCTTTCTCTTTTTGAGTACCAATCTGCCATCTTTGACTCAAAGGACTTCCTTCTCTCTCTCGGTAAACTAAGCCAAGATGTTGGTCGCTTTGATGATTGCATTGTATCTGTATGCATACCTTTTATTATATTTTATTAAACATTTAAATACGAATATACGTAAGATTTGACTGCCTGAAAGAACTAACGGAGTGGGCAGGTTAGAGTTAGCAGTGATGATTGCTCCGTAGAATAAAACTTGTTTTCTTTTGCCTTCATTTTATCCCAAAGGCAAAACCAATGCGTGACAAACACCCCCCTTGCCCCTCAAAATTATTCATAAACCAACAAAAGTCAAGGTTTATTTTTGGGAATTACAAAACATGTCTCTGTACGTTAAATCAAACCATCAAGGTTGTTTGTTCATCGTCAATTTGTCATATTTACCTTATTTTGTAAACGTATTACAATCCCAACTTGGAAAAGAACAATTTGATGGATCACATTGTCGTGTTTTTACATGTTGGCAGCTGGGGACCATTTGCTGAGAAACCTGACCACCAAATGAATATACCTTTCGGGAAGCGGAAGAATTTTATTTAAACAACTGACATTACGAATATTTAATGCTAATCCACAAAATTAGTGATTGGGGGCGCGTGAGAGAGACGCGGGGAGAAGAAGAGGGGGGAGTATTCCATTTAGCTTGGGGAGGGTGGCAGTGACAGAGCAGAGGGGCAGAGATACGGTTACGGACAGAGGTTTTTGATGTATTGGGTATGAGAGTAACAGGGGGCCTCGTGATCGGAGAAGGCAGATCCATGGAAGACTGTTCCCTCTAGTCACATGGGCTCTTTTGACTACCCACTGTTCACCCTCCCTTTTTTTTAATTTCTTATTACCATATCTAATATGTTATATCTACGTCAATCCAATTGCCCACAATCATTTTCTTTGTTCATTTCTTCTTTATAATCAAATTTTGAATTTATTTTATTAATTTTATAAGATAATATATGTTTAAAAATAAATAATTATTTTACATTTGGAGTTCATTTTCTTCGTACCGACTGAAGCTGACCGGCTGACTTTTCATTTTCTTTATCTTCTCGAGTAGAAGTATTTATTTTTGAACCAAATATAGCACTACTTGTAGTTAACATATGTACATGTAGGTATGTTTTTATAGGTTTTTTAATATTATTTTTTTATCTAGCTGTAACATGTAACCTGGGTCCCCCACTGTCTATTATCTTTATTTTCTCGATTGCTATATACGCATGTGCATCTCTCCATTTGCAATTCACGACAACGTGGACTGCAGGTGCTGACTGCTATTTTCTCTATTTTATTAGCTTACGAAGCTACCAGACAACATCTCTTCTCAGTCTCCCCCCCCCCTTCTCTGTCTCTTATAAGTTATTCTTTCAAACACACTATTTATTATTGCACTTGTGTCTCAGTTACTACTATTTGGCTCCTACTCCCCTGTCATTGCTCTTTAACTATAAACTCACCATCCCCATTTTCGTTCTCATTTCAATTTCATTTTTCTTTTTCTCTTCATCGTCTTCAAATCCTTTGTTTCTCCAAATTCCCATTTGATTCGTTATTGATTTAGTGCTGAAATTGAGGTGGGATATTAGATTAAATCATTGAGAAGAAAGAGCTTGGAGAGAAAAATGATGCACAGGTGCTGTAGCTCTCAAGGAAACATCATGGGACCGTGTTCGTGTGCCTTGTTTCATAGCCAAAACAACTCCTCGATGCTTTTTTCCATGCCTAACCACAAGTCTTATGACGAAACGGATGTGTACAACTCTTTCACGTCCTATTCGTCTTCTTCGGTTGATTGCACTCTCTCCTTGGGAACCCCTTCCACTCGTCTCTGTGAAGATGATGATAGGCGTTCCGGTAATTCTTGCATGTCCAACTGCTGGGACTTGTTGCAAAACAAGAACGCACATGGTTATTCGCAGCAAACCACGAAAGCTAGCCGTGGAAGCAATGGGGACGGCGGTAGCAGCTCCGGCAATGATTCTCTCCTTGCTCGTCGTTGTGCTAACTGCGACACAACTTCTACACCGCTTTGGAGGAATGGTCCCAGAGGTCCAAAGGTATTTCAGTTTGCAAATTTTAACGGCTCTTTTGATTATAGTGACTCTAGATTTTTATTTATTTTTGTTGTTGTTTGATATTGTAGTCACTTTGCAATGCCTGTGGAATTCGATTCAAAAAGGAAGAAAGGAGAGCATCAGCAGCAAATGCAAACGCTTCAATCGCGGAACAGCAATATCACGGCTACAACAACAACAATTCATGGTCTTCAATGCAATATTTCTCATCGCCCGTCAATGAAATCAAGTTCATCGAAGATGGCGATCCCTATCTTTCTTGGAGACTCAATGTCACCGATATGCCAACAAACCTCGTTCATGACTTCACAAGATGAAAAAAAAAAAGAAATCCCCCACGCCATTGACGGTCAAGATCATGCAGCAATGGCTGAAACTTATTGCGATGATGATGTTGATGGAGATTTTGTTTTACGACGTCGTTGATAGTGATATGGTCTTCGTTTCGTCTAGTCAAAATTCCCTCTTTTTTCTCTTTTGTTTAGTTTGTTTGCCTCGTTTTTCTTCCATAGATGGAGTAAGAACGGGACAATTCTATGTTCTTAGGTACTTTTTTTGAAGTTTTCTTTAACTTTAATTTCTTCCACTTTCAGTTTTATATAAAAACCTTTCTGTTTGAAGAGACTTTCACTTTCCTATACAATGATCATCAGCAGTTCAGCACCGTTAGATTCGATTACTGGTTTCCCTGATGTAATGTAATAGATATACGACGTGTAGTTAAGCTTACATATGCAAACAAAACAAAAAAATAACTTTTTTTCATGTTATATGAACTGAAGTTTACTGTACCTGAGAGGCTGGACTTTGAAGCTGCTGCTTCTTCCTGTTGGTTCTTTCCGGTTTCTCTAAATTTCACAACTGAAAGAGAAAGTTAAGTGAGCAAAAGGAAAACCCATTGTGAATAGAATTATTACGTTTGATTCTTGTCTGGGTGATGAATCTGATCAACCAATTGCCTTTGTGTTTGTTCCAAGTCGGAGAGGACACTGATCGGTTCAGACGCTTTGCCGGTTGGGCCTTTTCCTAAACCAAAGCTTGTACTGATACGGTCATTCTCTTGAAATCTTGACCGTTAATTTGGCCCCTACTGCACCACCGCTCCTCCTTGGGACACTCCAAAATGCGAACCCTTTAATTGATTTTATTTTTTTAACTTTGGATTTGTTAAGGTTGATGATGGTGCCAAATTAATTAATGTGTTTTAATAATACTATGTTTCAGTGGCTCATTTTTAACTCCCTCTGACATTCCCAAATCCATGTACATTGATTCCTTTTGTCTATCAGAGTTCAAAATGATATTCAACTTCTCTTGGATTTTGGATTTTCTGAAAATATTTTTTATCAACTGACTAAATTATTGATTGTTTTAATCTAAATTTTAAAATTTTGGGATTTTTTTTCTTATATTAATGTATAGTGACAAAAATTTTTTTGATAAAGTTGAACTCTATCCATCCATCCATGGTGTTAAAGACTTAAAGTGTTACCATATGATCTATTATGATATACTTTTAAAAAAATAGATAAAAGTACATGTGGTAATATTTCATCCCTAGAAGAAAATAATTAATAATCTTAAATATATATATATATATTTGTATAGAAATAAAATTCATTTATGTTATAAAAAATTTATTAATTTTATAAGATAATACAACAATTAAATGAATCTAAATAAATGATTAAAATTAAAAAGATTATCTATTTTCTCGTAAAATAAAAGAGAAAATGGCAGTATCTTAATTATGCATACATATTTATGTAATGATTATATTTTTGTATTAAACTAATGAACTTCATCGTGTATATGAATTATCAAAGGAATGTTGGCTAAGCATAGAAGCCGCATTTCAAGCCGAATACGGAATGCCAAGCGGTTTGTTCATCCTTAGAAACAGCCCCACATTTTAAATTTTGTGGACAATCAGTTCCATGTTTATTTTATTTATTAAATTAATACGAAAGTTCGAATGATAATACATTACATTATTTGATAGGGATGGTTTCTAAAATTTGAAAATAAAAGTGTTAAATATTTGATACAATTATTGCTATTATAATTTTATTTAATTTTACAAAAATAATATTTATTTAAATCGTTAATTTTTACAAAAATGATAATTAGATCGTTAATTTACTGTGCTAATATGATAAGTTACGTGATAGTTAATGTATATTTCATTATTGAGCTAAAACAAATCCAAATATATTCTAGCTTGCGTCTAAACAATCGTTTTTCAACAAAGTTCAACCATTCTAAAACAACATATACCAATATCATCATACATTTGAAAGTCAAAATATTGATGTACCATGTAAAATCCAGGCTTAAAACTTAGCCTAAAATTCAATTTCCGATTACCAATACCACTGAAAAACACATTACTAACCTTTCCATTCTTCCAACATGTCTCACTAACACAAAAATACCGTTTTAAACTAGTTCAAACAATGAAACACGGAAGAATACAAATTTTGACTTATTCAAAAAAAGTTCTAACTCAATGTATACACGTTTAAAATAAACATCATATACAAAAGCATTTCAAAAAAAATAAAATAAAGGATTACATATAAAATAAGTGCTCCCTTTTCATGAATATATATCTAAACTACTTTTTGAATGATCTGTGTCTAACATTACAAATGTTATTGACGCCAGACAGAATAGTGATTATCCTGTAGGCTAGCTCCGACAGACGATTCACAAGAGAAAATTCGCCCCAAAAACCAGAGAAAAAGTCTCTAGGGTTTAATAAAATATTATAAAATCAAAAACTATCCAAAAAACAGTCCACAAGCCGGACTGTTATAGCAAAAAAATAAGCAATCTCCCGAAAATCACTCTAAATTGAAATTCGAAATAAAATAAGCAATCTCCCAAAAATCCGGTCTAAATCGGATTTAAATTGACTTCCTAATTAACAATCGAAATATTACCATAAATAGTAAAAAATAACTAAATCTAGTGATTCGGAGGGGAAAACGGCAGAATTTGAGGTTGAAAAAAAGGCTACATGGAGCATAACTCAATGTGGAGAGCGTGCGCGTCGAAAAGAGCTTTCCGGATTGGGGTCTTATGCGCGATTCTGACACCTGTAGCCAAAGTTATGACCTAAAGACTGAAACATACTCAAAACGACCCCAATGAGGAACATGTCACAATCAATTCCCGCCTTTGCGCTGATCTGCCAACTCATGGTATCTCAGCGCCATCAACGTGCAATCTGACAGCTCAGCATCATCTATCTCGGATCCCCCTGCATCAGTTATCAATTTAGGTACCCGAGTTGTCAACAACGTTAATTTCCTCTGTTAAGTGGCATGTGTCACAGTTTGGTAATTATGAAATTTTTTTAATATAAAATATATAATTATATTTATAAAAAAATCCTAATTTCTCTTAAATAACAAAAAACAAAATCCTAAATCCTAACCCTAACCCGTCATTGTCGCCCTTTCCAGCCATGACCGTCGCCACCAATGTAGTCCACGTCATCCTCCTAGTCATATGTCATTGTAGTTGATGACGATTGGTTGCTGAAATCGCATGGGATCGAGATTTTCATCCTAGGGTTCACATGATATAAAACACTGATTCGTTTTTTAATATAATTTTAATTTTTGAATTTTAAATAAAAAATTTAAAACTACCATTTTATGATATGTGTCACTTAACAGAGGAAATTAACACATAAAGTGGCAACATTCGTAACTTCAGGACTGTGATGATTCAAAAAATAGTTTAGACACCCATTCATGAAAAGCGCTATAGTTTGGACTCTTATTTTTATAATTAAGCCAAAAATAAATAACGTAAAAAATCCTAACCGATTTTCTCTCAAAAATATTAAATTCATTTATCTCTTTTTCATTCTTGGTTGATAGACGAGTGTGTTGGTTGATGTCACCGGTATTTTTAATTTTTCTTTAATTTCTTATATAACATCTTTAATTTTCATTTTTTTAGTTTTCAATAACACAGTCTTTATGACTCAATTTTTTCCTGGCTTTATAGTAAGCTTATATATGCCTTTATGATACATTTTCGGTTGTTTAGGTGTTATTTTAGTTTATTATTTTCTCAATGTTGGATTTGACATCATCGCAACTGATCAATATGACATTTTTATTATCATGCTAATCTTTCCTACTTTGGACCGTCGATTTGGATTTGGATACGTGGTTTTCGTTCGTGAATATTTTTTTCACTTTGCTTAATTTTGATTTCGATTTGTCGGTGGTCTTTCAGTAGCTTTATCCCTTTTGTGATTCGTTTGTCAATGCAGTCAGATTTATTTGTATCTATCTTTTGTTTGAGTTTTTTGGTTAAATATTAACCATTCATTGTATATTTTTTTTGGATAATTGTTAAAATTTCACTACCCAAAAGAAGCAAAATCTACTACATCAAAACCAAGCCCTTATATGCCAAACCAAAAAAAAAATACTCACACCTATACAACGCAAAATAAAGAATAAATTGAAAATAAAAAATTACCCATCAACCCCCAATTCCTGTACAATCTATCATTCAATCCCCTTCTTTATACAAGTGCTAATCAACTTCATTCTAACTTTTCCCTTTATCACTTCCACTAAAGCATCAACACTCCTACCAATTCCTACCAAAACTCTCACTTTCCTTTATCTTTAAATATGGTAAACAGAAGCACTCTAAGCCATTTTCAGCAAACCAAAGATCAAAGCCTTACCTTTCAACCTCCCAATCGCCCACAAAGCCTCCAGCCTCTAAGGTGGCGTTTGGTTGGATGGAATCCCTTAGAATTGGGGGGAATTGGAATCCAATTCCACCACTTTCCCATGTTTGGTTCAAGTTTTCCAAGGGAATTGAAATCTCTCATGGCTTCAACTTTCCATCAAATGAGGGAAAGTGAATTCCATCCAAGAATGGATGGAATTCAATTCCCTTGTTGGAGGGAATTGAAATTTGATCATACTACCCTCATCAATCTTTTGGTAACTTATTCATATATTAAATAATTTTTTTTATTATTTCAGGTCGGGTTTCTAATTCATATATTCGGGTCGGGTGAAACTTTATTTTGGTCGGGTCGAGTCAGTTTTTTTAAGTGTGATATTCGGGTCGAGTTCGTGTTTAAGGTGAAAAAAACTCGACCAGAAAATATATATAATTTTACCTTATATATTTAGGAATAATTATAATAATACCATTCTATATATATATATTTTTCAATTAAGTCACTGTTTTTATTGAATAAAAATATTTTTTTATTATTTCGGGTCAGGTCGGGTCTGATTTCTAATTCATATATTCGGGTCGGGTCGGATCATGTGAAACTTTATTTTTTTTTCAAGTCGGGTTTAGGGTGAAAAAAACTGGACCGACCCGAATAAAAATATATAATTTTACCTTATATATTTAAGAATAATTACAATAATACCCCTCTATATATAATATTTTTCAATTAAGTCAATATTTTTATTGAATAAAAATAATTTTTTTATTATTTTGTGTCTTGTCGGGTCGGGTTTCTAATTCATATTTTGAATAAAAATAATTTTTGGTATATTTTTTTATAACTAATTAATATACTCCGATTGGAATGTATCGAAATATTGCTCTATCTTTTGATAACTTATTAACATATTTTGATTGCGATGATTTTAACTTATGATGTTTATTAGTATGATTTTTATAATTTATTGAAATGAATAATCAATCAATAAAATGAAAATTTAATATTTTTTTAATTTTTTATAATATATTACTACATGTAAGTTGTAAAACAAACTAAAATAAAGCAAAAAAAAACAAGAAGGGTAATTCTATAATTTTACATTACTGAAATCAAATTCATCTGACATGTCTGCGAACCAAACAAAATATGGAATTGGATTTCAATTCCATTTCCTGCCAACCAAACAGAATATGGAATTGAATTCCAATTCCTAACAGATTCCAATTCATTCACAGATTCCAATTCCCTCATAAACATTCCAGCGAATCAAACGCCACCTAAGTACCAACCTGCCTCGACAATGGACACAAGGCAAGGACACCACCTCATACCTTCTTCAAGTAACCACACCCGAAAAATAAATGATCTCTCAACTCCAACTCTGAGTAAAAACAACAGCTTCCATTCACCTCCATTCCCTATTCAATAGCCTATCTTTTATTGGTAACCTGTCCAACAACACAAACCACACAATGATACCATTCCAAGGAATTAGATAAGGAAACCAAATAAAACTCACCCATGGCACCTTCGCACACTGGTGTCAAACCCCCTACCAAATATCTTTAACCTTAAACATCCCCAGTTGCCCCCATATCCTCGTATCCTAATTCACAAATTGTATGGCCATACTACGAATTCCAGTAACTTCTTCCAATACCAACTACACACGTTAGAAATATGAAGCTCCATAAACATTCTCCCTTTCAGCACGTAAGCCTCAACCCACTGTAGGCAAAGAGAGCTCGCTCCACCCATCAAAGCCATATATATGTTGAACAATACTAGCAGTATTCCAAGTGTCCAACTCTCTTAGACTAAGGCCACCCTCATCCCTAGGCTTACAAACAATTCCTAACTAACCTTGGCCTCCCGAGCCTGCTTGTCACTTCTCTTCCAAAAGAAACGTGAACAGAGTTGAGCTAATATCCTAACATCAGCCTTAGACAAAAAGAAATGCCTACACTAATAGGCTTAAATATTATAAAGCACACTCCTAATTAATTGCAACCTTCCCACATAGAACATAAATCGAGCAGACTAACCACTTACCTTATAAGTAACATTCTTAATTAAAGGACCACAATCTTTCTCAGTGAGCTTACAAGTAACCAGAGGTACTCCAAGATAACAAACAGTGAGATGCCCAATTCGAAAAACTAGTGGCCTCCTGAACTTCAAGCAACTCCTCATCACCCATCCCTGAAACAAACACTTCAATCTTTAGAGGATTCAACTACAAACCAGAAATTTTATAGAATTCTTACGAAACACACATAATCTCAACCATAGACTAAACATTTTCCTTAGAAAAAAATTAACAAATCATCAACGAAACATAGATGCATTAATCCAATTTGTTTATGCTTAGGATGAAACTGAAAAACACCCTCCTTAGCAGCAACATCCAACATTCGAGAAAAAATGTTCATAATAAGAACAAAAATATAAAGGGACAGTGATCCCCTTACCTAACCCCATAGAACCCAAAAAAACCCCTCCAAACCACATTTAAGAGTTATTAAAAAACATAAGCTTTAAGTATACAAAAAGGAGACTCCCTATGCAAGAAGTCAAACGCTTTTTACAAATCCATTTTAATTGCACAACGAGCAGATAAAGCCTTCTAACCATATCCCTTAACAAGCTCCTGAGCAAGGAGAACATTGAAAGAAATATTCATGTCTTAAACAAAAGTAATTTGATTTACAAAAGCAAGATCAGATAACCATTTAGCCATTCTAGCCACAATGACTTTAGTAAGACACTTATAGAACACCTAACAGCATGAAATAGGTCAAAAATCTTTAACACTGTTAGGATTCACCACCTGTGGAACAAAAGTAAAGGAAGTAGAGTTAACCCCCTCAACGGCTCTAATGAACCAAAATAATAAAAGGTCGCCTCAAATACCTCTTCACCAACAATATCCTAAGCCTTCTAGAAAAATCGACCCTTATACCCATCAGGAACAGGCGCCCGATCCCCACTCATTGAGAACATGGCAGCCTTCACTTCCTATCTAGTAACCAGCCTGCCTAACTCCTCGCAAGCATCAGCAGTAAGTACATCCCCAAACATATCACGTAAAAGACCAGCTGAAGGGATCCCAACAAGGCTATCATTCAAACCCAAAATACTACTAAAATATGAAAAGAACTCATCAGCCCTTACGACCTTCAAGTCTATCACCATTTTAATTGAACTAAACTTTAATCGAATCGCGACTGATTTTACCTTAAGGATAAGGTGAAAAACCCTCGGATTCTGATCAACATCCTTAAACCATTGAACCCCAGACTTTTACTTTAGGAACCCCTCCTCAGCATCCAACAAAGCTTTATACTCTCTACACAAACCACACTCATTACTCAAAATTTTAGAAACAACTTGACAATCCAAATTAAGCAACTGCCTCGATTCCAACTCTACATTCTTTTCCAAAACTCGCATATACAAATCACCAAAACAATCTTTTGAGTTTAAAGAACATCCTAGACAGAGGGTTCCCATGAGCCTCTTTAACCTAAGAGTCATTCACCAATAAAAAAATGGATGATTTATCCAAAAATTTAAAAAAATAAAAAAGGTTTAGGACCAAACCTTTCCATTTTTCTAAACTACACAACCATAAGATAATAGTAAAAAATCCTAGGCACAAAAAAATCAATAAATGAGGCAAAACCATATGTCAACCATAATTCACCATAACTCTATCAAGTTTCCTACTCAACGGACGATCTAGTTGATGATAAGACCACGTGAAAGAAGGGCCAACACAAGAATGATCTGACACCTCAAGACCTCTCACACAATCTCAAATGTCCCTAATATCTCTGGACAAATCATTCCCACCACAAAAATCCAAACTCTCCCAAGGCTTTAAAATAACATTAAAATCCCCAGCAAGTAGCCAATGAGCATTGTCAATCAATCCTTGAACATCCAATAAATGGCTCTAAAAAGACTGTTGAGTCAATTGATCAAGTAAAGTGGCCAAGAGGGGGTGAATTGGCTATAAAAATTTGTTGGAAGCTTAAGCAAGAAATAAAAAAATTGACACAAGGGATTTAGAGTGGTTTAACTTTCTTAATGAATTCTAAATCCACTACCTTACCTTCCTAACTAAGAATTTTAACAAATTCACTAATTTGTTCTAACCTTTTAGGGCATTGTGTAACCCTACACAACATTACGACTTATACCCCAAAGTTCTGAATGTTCAACCCTTCCTAAGAAGTAATTACAAATGAGCAAACTTTGAAAATCTTCACAAAGATTATTTGCAAAATGAAGCTCCTACACGCACCCAAGAACACTAGAATAAAATTGACAATGAATGAAATAGGGTTCAATGAAAAAAAGATACAATGAAATATAAATTTGGCTCTAATTGCTATTTGATTGTCAGAATGGCTTTCTTGTTTCTTCTTGGTTGTTTCAAGACCCCTTTTATGCGCTCTCATTGATTTCTAGCCGTTTGAGGTGGATGGAGGGAGTCTGGAGTCGTTTGAAGCGTTAAATTTGTGTATTAAAGTCTACATGCAAATAAAGTTTAGAAGCTATGGGTAAAGTTTCAAAATTCTTCGAAAAATGATTTAAAAAAATATGATCGTTGAAACTCATAGTATCAAAACTTCAAGTAAAGTTTCGAAACTTTTATGAAAGTTACAAAACTCTTGTGAAGTTTTGAAACTCAAAAGTCTTATGTTTTAGAAAGTTTCAAAACTTCTTTGAAAGTTTCGAAACTTCTGGTCAAAACACATTTAAAAAAGATGATTTTTGACATTTTGAGAAAGATATAACCTTGAAAATTATTTTAAAGTGTTTGAATGATATTTATGACATAATTTGAACTTAAAAGACTCATTTTAAAGATTTGATAAATTTTAGGGACATAAAGTTAATTTTACAAAAATTAACATATATAAATATACATTATGTTATATCAAAATCATTTAAGTTTATCAAAGATGCCTATTGACCTCATCATTTAAGCCATAAATCGCAGAAAAATAACAAAGGCTATCATTATACTAAACTTGCAAGTAATAATTTGCTCAGTGATAGCTACAACATCCCAACCATTCTCAGCACGCCAAAGAATTCAGATTCTACCAGTGGCAACCTCAACATAATTATCACAACACTCCCACTCTTGAAACCATTTCCCTAAAACTTGGTCCCTATTAAAAATCTTCTTCCTAGTTTCCACAAGGCAAATAACATCCACATGTAAACTAGAGATTCTACTAGAAATACACTTCTATTTGGAAGGGCAATTAAACCATCTCGCATTTCAAATAAGGATCTACATGAGAAAGAAACATCAGGGCAACCCCTTATTACCTCTCCTCCTATCCAACGTGTGCTTCTTCCCCTACTTGAGATCTTTAACCAACCCAACAACACTACAACAACAACCCACTACTTATTAGGAGAACCCAAACCACTCACAAAGGTAACAGCAGCCCCCAACAGAGCCATTAACAGGACCCTTTACAACTGTTGAAGAATTGCCTTCAACAGGCCTCACCTCCACACTCAAAGGATTGCCCTTCTCCATGGGACTAGATGCAGCAACCCCTGAAATTCAAGACCCGAGGGGAAACCAATCTCACCCTCCTCCAATTCAACAACCCCACACAGGACTGCAAACCAATATAACGAGCTCCTTAAACCAGAATACTTACCAGACTTACCAACTGCACCTGACTTACTAGAACTACTAACCCTTCTACCAACCACCACCTTCTTACTCGTACCATAATCCTTTAGAATTCCAACTGAGCTTAACTTGTCACTAGAGATAAGAACTGGGCCTTCGACCATAGCTGGCACCTCAACATCCTCTGCAACAGCTGTCACCTCCACTACACCCATAATATCAGCCTTGGGAACCTCTTATTTATCCCCATCATTCACTGGACACCTCTATTCGGAATGCCCAAAAACGTAACAACTACGACACTTTTGAGGCAACCAAGGCACATTAACAATTATAGTCATAATAGAGCAATCTTGCAACACCACAAAAATAGAGCTAGGAATTTTTTACGCAACATCAACTTCTACACAAAACTTGGCGTCAGCAAGCCTAGACCTACCAGTAGTAATTCGATCCATATAAAGGGGTAAACCCAAAGCACTCGTAATATAACTAATACATATATGAGTATACAATTCCAATGGCATGCCATATAGCTAAACCCAGACAGGAAACTTTTTCAAGCTAAACTCCAAGGAAGACATATTTGGTTCCCACTTACAAACCACCAAAGGGGTATTCTGAATATGGCAAAGACCATGTTCAATCACCCAATCCCTAGCTTCCTTAGAGCTAATCTAAACAATAAAGACTCTCCCACCTTCATGCTTAACCATCACAACCCTAATTTCCCCCAATGAATATTAATCAACTTCTGCATGGCCCTAAAATTAGGATCCCTATCAATAAACTAAATGATAAGAGAGTTCTGCAATACCTGAGTAAGAGAAGACCTCCTCTGGACGGGACACCATCATAGAACCATTATTATAAACTAGAAGGAAGAAATCCAACTTTTGTTCCTCCATCGAACTGAAGTGAACCCTCCAATTGAGCTTCGATTGACCAGTCGAAGGACCTAATCCATCACCAGACATACTGTCAATCCTCATCCACACCCCAAAGACTCCCCTAACAAACCCCATAAATCAAACAATCCATTCTCGAGTCAGAAATGAAACCCCAAAAGAAAGGGGAAAACCCTAAATGCCTTCAAGAAAATAGAGGGAAAAAATGGTTATTCTTTTTTTGCTTCCAAGTTAATCTATTATGTACTTACGAAACTTTATCCATTGTATGGTTATTGTATGATCTTAAATGTCTAATTTTTATACTAATGATTATATGAAATGTCCTAGTTACATGGTTAATTTATGTTTATAATCATAAATATTTATCGTAATTTTGGATATTTCGTTTTTCTAATTAAAGTATCGACTTCTATAAAATAAATAAATATACTTCAAATACCAAACTTGTGTCTTGATTTTCTATTTTGAGTCCAAACTAAAAGTACCAAATGGTTCATTATTACTATTCAATCACGTTAACAACAACAAACCAACCTGAATACAAAAAAAAAAAAAACCACAATTCCAATGCTAAAATTATATAAACCCGAACGTATTCCAATTCTATAACCCTAATTTTCACTCGAAACCTACAACATCAAAACAAAAAAATGAACTATGAATATCAGTAGTGGTCTTAATGATGTATGAGTATGCATTCGAACAATATGACATATGATGCATGATCAATTGAAATGTTATGCATACTTCAAATGATAAGTTGAGACTCTAATGTTGAACCAAATGTATAGTATTTATTTATTAATCAATTGTTAATCCAATTGCCACTTACAGACACGTATAAAATACCTAGACTCTATCCAAAATACTTCAAACGATAAGTTGAGACTCTAATGTTAAGCCAAATGTATAGTAATGGTGAACCAAAATGTTCTAAATAAAAATGATTCTAACAGTGAACTAAATTTGTAAATAACAATGAGTCAAAACTCTAATGTTGAACCAAATTTCTAAGTATGTGACCAATAAGTAAGCATAATGTAGATCAAATCTTCTTAATTATCAGTTTAAAGATTTCTATGATATGTCATTTGTATTCGATGATTTCCAATACGAACACTTGGACATTGTTATAATTAACATGTATGCATTGCTCAATACAATGTTCAATTTTATAGTCATAACGTTTCCCCGAGGGACCCGTTAGACTTGAAAAATATAGTTTTTGGGGAAAAAGCGATAAAATTCAATTTTGAAAATGGTTTGATTTTAGAGTCGCCACCAACCATTAAGTTAGGTAGGTTAGAAACCTTAAATGATAAAAAAATGGTTTGCGTTTTACCAAAGATTCGTTTTCAAGAGTTCCAAAGTCAGTTACGTGTGGGAAAGGGTTAGCACCCCCATAACGCCCAAATTTTGGTACCTAAATGATTATATGTTGTTTAAATAGTGGGAATTACAAACTTAAAAATGTATTTAAATTATGATCCTTTTATTCATTCGAATTTATTTAAAAAGTGTGAACAATCTTCGGGAACGCACTTCCTTTACAGTTAGGAGACTTTCCTATAAATTACCCTCACAAAAACGTTATTACGCAATTTTCGTAATGATAAAATAAAATAAAAAACTAAAAGTGAAAAGAATTGAAAATAATCAAAATAAATGAACGTGGAACAAGGAGAATTTATCGAATATAAAATACATATTTATGTAAAAAAATCCTCGAAAAGACACCTTCCCTTGTAGTCAGGATATATCTTCGTAGATTTCCTTCATAATACAATCTCCCACTTACATATTTAGAAAACAAAATGAAATATATATATATATATATATATATATATATATATACAAAATAAGGAATAATCATATTCGATTTAAAAGACTTAAATAGAAAAACCATAAACTTAAAGGGCTAAAACAGTAAAAATGAAACATAAAGGTCTAAATAGTAAATATAGATATTTAAAGGACAAAAAATTAAAAAAATAGACATTTAAAGGACTAAAATAACAAAAACAAAAACTTAAGGGACTAAAATAGCTAAAACAAAAAGTTAAAGGACTAAAATAGCTAAAATAGAAAGTTAAAGGACTAAAATAGTAAAAACATAAAGTTAAAGAACTTAAATAGAAAAAAATTGAAGGGCTAAACAGTAATTACAAATAAATAGGAGCCAAAATCGAAAAAATTAAATAATACAAAAGCCAGAAATGTAAATAACACATAAATAATATATAGGACTAAAATGAAATAAACAGAAACATAAAGGGCTGAACCAAAATTAAACCAAATGCCAATAGTGACTAAAATGAAATATTTACAAATATCATGTCTAAATTCGAATATCCACAAAAATACACCACAAACGAGATTAGTGACTAAAATAAAATAACTAAAAACATTATGACCAAAGTGAAACATACACAAATATGACAAAATAAACAACTAGTGACTGAAATATCATTATTGAAAGATACAAGCCTGAAACAGAATATTAAAATTTCATTTAACGATCAGAACAAAAGATTACAAATATATAGGGATCTATACTGTAATTTTCCCTAGAAATATGAGAAACACGGGTAAGGTTAAACATGCAGGGACCAAACATGCTAGGACCAAACATGCTATTAGCTCTTAAAACTTTGAAAACACGGGAATGGGGTGCCAAAATGGCAGCGTTTCATGCCTAGTATATAACCCTAAACCCAAGCCTAATTCCCCCAACTCCCCTCATTTCTTCCTTCACTTCAGAAAAAAAAGAGAATGAGAGAGAGAATTATCTCAACTTCCCCTTCACCAGCGAAGAAATGGGTCACTGTCGGCGAAGCTCAAGGCGGAGCTCATGGCGGCGCACAGCGGTCGGATGAGACCAAAAAGCTCCAAAATGCCTTCCTCATCCTCCTCAACCCGAAACCAGAGCCTACTTAGCCTAAAACTAACCCTAAACCCCTAGATCTAGGTTGTTAATACCTTCGAATGCTATGAAGAAATGGCAACCGTCATGTATGAGTCTCTCCTTTTGCATTATCTTCACTTTCGTTTTTCGTTTTTTTTGTTTGCTCTCTGATTTTTTTCTCTCGGTTTTTTTTTTCCAAAACTCCCCCCGTCCGAATGGTTCTCCTCTCTGAAAATGGTCTCTTTTTCTACTTGCCTCTGTCATTTTTGACTGATGGATGCTTGGATGATATGTCTCATTAGGGCCATCATTTCCGCTAGATTTCCTCGGGATAATATTGCTAGCAAGTGGCTGATAATTTTTCCATTTTCTTATTGCTTGATTGATTTGGTTGACAGACAATTGAAATGGCAATGTCAGAGTGTCGGGGAAAGCTCGACGGCAGCAGTAGAGACTGGCAGTGGTGGTAGCTATCTCTAGGGTTTCATAAACCCTAGGGAGTTGACACTGGACCGGGTCAGATCATGGGATACGGATATGGGCTTGAACCGGGTCTGAACTGGGCGGATTCCAATTGAGTTGCTGAGTGGGCTTCGGTTGTAATATGGTTTGGTCTTGAATTGATTGTAGTTGGGTCATTGGGCTTCGGGTATTAAGCCTGCAAAAGAAGTGTAACACATGTAAATAAAATAATAATAACAATAATAATAATAATATAATCAATATTTATAATATAATAATATTTTTGGTATACTCAAAAAAATGGGTATCTGCAGCTACCTCTCTTTGTACATTTTTGTGTTAATAAGAATAGGGGAAAGACAAAAAAAAACAACCAGTTTTTGTCCGGTTCTCTTTTTTTGGTTTGAAATTTGATGTTTAATAGTGTTTGATTTGGGGACGACATGGGTCATACGTGATGAAGAGGTATGGTCATCTAAAGGTGACACAACTCCTACGTGATGAGGAAATCTGGTCGGTGGATGACACGACTCATACGTGATGAAGAGTTCTGGCCATCTTTAGGAAGGGTAATAACACGGTTCCTACGCGATGAGTACGGTTGGTTATCTAAGGGTGACACGGCTTGTACGTGATGAGGAGGTATGGTCAGGGATGACACAGTTCCTACGTGATGAAGATGGTAGGCCATCTTTAGGGATGATAACACGGTTCTTACGTGATGAGGACGGCTGGTTATCATGGGTGACATGGCTCCTACGTGATGAGGAGGTCTGGTCGGGGGGAATGACATGGTTTTTTACGTGATGAGGACGACATGCCATCTTTAGAAAGGGTGATAACACGATTCCTATGCGATGAGGACGGTTGGTTATCAGGGATGACACGGCTCCTACGTGACGAGGAGGTCTGGTCGGGGGATGGCACGGTTCCTACGTGATGAGGATCACATGCCATCATTAGGGATAATGGTTTCAAGATAAACCGACCCAAAGATGATGTAACCCCCTCAGACCGATGCGGATAGCCCGATCCGATATGAAGCGTCACATTAAGGCCACCGGAGCGACCCACCGTAGAAATAGAAAAAACTTTAAAATTTTTCTTAAAACATGTAAAATCATAAAATGATTTATTATTTTTCAGAAATAAAACTAGTTTATCAGACTCTGATATAAAAACAAAATACAATCTACATGCCCCCTAATCACATGTACTATACTCTGCAAACAACGTCAGAAGAGCTCCCTTACTGAATTCGATAGATGCACTGGTACAATTATTTTAACATGCAATGGTAAGTAATAAAGTGAGCTTCAAAAAGCTCAGTAATATAAAACTACCAGATGATGCTACAAGACATGCCAATAAATAGAAAACCATATCATTTCTTATTTAGTTAAACGTATACCGGTTTTCGAAATAATCTGGAGTTCCACTGGTAGTTCAACGAATAGAAGTCATGAATCTCAGTTCATAAGAAACCTTTCACACATTCATGTTTTCATGAGGTCGAATAGGATGTCTAGTGTGTTCCATCAGTACGATAAAATCATAATAGGTACACCAATCAAATGATAGTTCAGTAAAATCCCATAAACCATATTGTAGTGGAGCTTTTTAAACTCGTATTTTAAAACCATCTTACAAAGAGTTAACATAAGGGAACATCTTAGGGCCTAAGAGCCTACCCAAGATAGATTTTGGGGTCATGGGGCCTACCTAAGAACACATCTTAGGGCCGCAAGGCCTACCCGAGAATGATCTCAGGGCCACAGAGCCTACCTAAGAGTCACATTAGGTCCATAAAAATTTTCC